GGAGGACGGTGGCGGAGACGGTGGCGGTGGAGTCTCGCCGCGACGAGGGGTGGCCGACGTCGGCGAGGGGGTACCCGCTGGTGGCCCGCGTGCGCTGGGCGGCCCCGTCTGAAGCGCTGACACCTCTGTCCCCATGTTGTGCACTGGCACCGTCCAGGTTGGACACGGTTGCGTTTCGCCCTGGCGATGGCTGACAAAGGCCTGCCGCACCACCAGCGGTCACCTCCTCGACGTCGTTCGGCCGCGATGCGATCGTGTTTTTTTGTCGTGGAGCGTGCGAAGCGTCGCAAGGTCGTCGGTTCGATCCACTCGAGGCCACGGTGCTTCCCGCCGACTTTGCAAGGACTGTCGAAGCGCACGAACGTCTTGGAATGTCATTTTCTTGACCGTCGTCGCTCGAATCGCGTCGACCGGCGCAAAGGAAAACATACTAGGTGGGTCGCAAGAGACGCTCGCACGTTGGCCGACGCTCTCGGACACGTCGTGCATCGCCGACGAACAGGGCATCGCAGATCCCAACGCACCAAATGTCTCACGTGTGAGCGACGGACCCGGGCTTTGGTCGGACGCTCGAAGCGTTGATGGCTGCGGCATTATACAGAGCGATTCCATAGACTCAACACTTTCTGGGGTCGCCTCTAGCCGCACCTCGACGCTTCGATCGAGACACAAACCGAGATGGTGTGGCAACTCAAAGTGATCTTCTTCGACCGTACTGTCTTGGCGCACTGCATCCGCGACGCAGTGGGAAGCTTCGAATGACGCCGGCGCGTCCGTTGATCGTCGTGCGTTTTGCGGCGTGGCCGGAGGTGTGGTTGGAGTCGCCAATGGCTCGGTAGTACCAAGTGCTGCGTCGTTCAGATCCAGATCCGGTTCTCTTTCTCGAGACTCGTCAACCTCCTTCTCCACAAAGAAGCTTGCTCTTGCTGGAGGTACGTCGCTTGGGACTCCGTGTTGCGGTGATTCAATTTCGCGAGACAAGAGGTGACTGGCTACAGCTCGGAGGTTTGCTGAGCTCTGTCGACGTCTGTCTGATACGCCTGTGGTGTTGGCCGCGAGCGCTGCCGCTTGCAGCTCCAGAAGCGCCCATGTCGTCTACGCGATTCATCGCACACTGCGATAGGTGACTGGTCGTACCGCTCCGAGTTTCGCCTTGTAGTTGGGCAGCGGATACGCGCTTGCAGCTTTGGATGGCGAGAGGGTCCTCACCAGCGTAAGACTCACTTGTGGCTCCCAACGCTCGAGGTGGCGGGCTTCTGGACTGTCGATTCTCTCGTACTCTCTCAATGTTGTGGGTGATATGTCATCACACGCAGCCTTTGTCGACGCAAACTTGTCTGGCGTGACGCTTCTGTCGGTGATACTGACGGTGGTGCAATCTTGGTTGGGCGAAGCGCGCGACATTAAGCTCGGTGGTGTGGCTGGTGCCTTGGGCGAAGCCAATGCAGAAAGCAAGGGTTTTCCGACGCTCTCTCGATCCTTGCTGACGCTTGTTCCAAGCGCCTCTGCCGAAGGTGGACTATGACTCCGAGATAGCGACGCTCGTTGCCCGTGCGAGGATGGACTGCAGCTCAACTTGGCGAAGGGCGAGGACGGACGGCTCGTCACTTGGAGTGCGGTCGAGAAAGACTCGTTGACAGGCGCTGCGATTGGCTCGGTCTCGATGCTGGTCAAAGTAGTCTCCAACTGCGTCGGGTAAAATGTCGCCAGACGTGGCAATTCGAGAGGGACGGGGCTCGCGTCTGGCAGCAGTATCTCGGCTGTTGGCGTTTCCTTGCGTGGCGACGCGTTGGTTTGGTTGTTTGTCGATACGAGGAGACGCAGTGTGCAGGGTTCGTCGGAATCGACGTCCTCCGTCATCTTGGCGACGACCTCCTGCAGCGACTTGAGCACCTTGACTTTGGCCGGGCAAACGTATAAGAGAAACTTGTCGGGTGCATGTAGCCAGAGCACCATGATTTTCGCGAGGAACGCCAAGTGGAGGCACGCAGGTCGACCGCGCAGCGTCTCTTGGAGACACTCAATCGTGTCTTCAAGATCAACGACGCTGCGCAGTGTCGACGGTGGCCTCGCGATCGCAAGTGTCGGTGGCGGCGGCATGCCGACGCGGTA